TCGGTTGTCTTGAGCTTTTGTCCGCGGGAGATGAAACGTATTCGTGGACAGCCACAGGTGGGCTGGAAAGCGTGGTTTGAAGATCTCCAGATTCGGTGGTTTACGTTCGACGTGGACGATCCCAGAACATACTTGGATGACACCAATACTTTTTGTCAAGAAGTGGGAAATGCCTGGTTGTCATCGTGGATGGACATGTGCTGCGCTCTTCTGAAGCACTTGAAGGCAACGACTCAGCGAGAAGAACGAGGCATCCTCTTTCATTGCTTCGGCGGGGTCAACCGCAGCTCAGCGGCATTGTGTGCGTGGTTGATCTTTCGTCGTCAGCTCTCCGCGGAAGCGGCTGTGCAGAGCTTGTTGACGGCCCGTCCCACGCTTCACCCCTGGAAGCATCGGCCGCATGTCTTCTGGGCATTGCGTACTTGGGAGAAGAACCTAAATTCCTTTGTAAGACCTCGCATTTTTGCTGCAGTTCAAGAACTATGAGCTAGCATGCCGGCGAGTCGACGTGACGAGCTGGACAGACTGTGACGATACACTGCTGCGAAAAGAATCGAAAACAACGCTGCCTTGCGTTGCATAACGACTGACGGAGTTCGTTTCTCAAAAGAATTGACACTGACCAAGTTCGTTTCTGACATCGACACTTCTGATGTCTTGTGCTAGCCTCCGCCTTCAGTGTTGCAAATATATACTCACTGTTCGTGCGAGTTGACCGGAGCTCAGGTCCTGCCTGGAGCTCACTCTACATCTCTGCGTGAGAGAAAAAAGCGTGTCTCACCTCTTCTTGCTTTACATCCTACTAACACTGCCCGCCGTGGTCGGGATGAGACCACTTGATAGCTTTAATGGTCGTTTCGAGTGTGTTACGTTTTGAACGCCACTTGATAGCCTCACCCACACACACACACACCTCCTCCCTCCCCTCCTTCTCATCCTCGTCCATCACATCATCACTTATACTGGACGTCTGAGCATAACCGCCTCACACTTCCTTCTTGACTTTTCATCTCACTACTCCGTCTCCCAAGTGATGTTCATATACAGTTGAAATTTGTAAAACTTATCATGTGGGGTTATCCGGTCTTTTTATTTTTGTTTTGCTTTGCTCAACAGTTCTAAGAGCCTACAAACGCAAAAGGAACCCTGGTTGTAAGCAAAGTCTCTCAGGGCCCCAAGTGTGTGGAGGCCTGCAGTTAGGCACGACAAGTGTACGCCTTATGCCACCGACGGTGAGCACAATTCTCCATGCGCAGACCTTTAGGAGACTACTTGTTGTCGGAAGTGGAGACTCTGCATTGAGTGCTCAGCTTGCGTCTGAGAAGGACTTGATGCTTTGCATTTGCATTTTGTTTGGAATTTATGCTTTGCATGAAAACGTGTTTGGCTCAATTCCTGCCTGACTCCTTGCTCGCTCTTAAGTGTCAGGCGTTGAAGCCGGAATGGGAGGCGAGGTCAGATAAGTCTTTTTCGTGGAATCAGCCGAGTAGTTTATTCCAAGATACTCAGGTGATCAGCATCGACTTTTCTTCAGAGGTCACCGAAGCTTAGCAGCATTTCTCCAGCCTGGTTTTCAAGTCGTTTTGATTTCTTTATGTGCTATGGTGTTTTCACATGTTATTGCATCAAGGATCGAATGAAGATTCGTTTCCCAGAGTTAGCTTTCTTGACAATGGATGCCAGGCGCAGCCGTGTTGTGTACAAGCCTTGATTTGGTTCTGAGTTCTTGCAGGGCTCTCTCCTTCGAAGATGCTTCTTTTGGAGCCATTGTAGATAAAGGTGCGCCACAGCTTTCGGGGTTACCAAGTGTTTGCAGTGAAGCTGCCAGGGCTTTCAGATTGCATTGGTAGTGTCACCGAGCGGCGAAAGTATTTTCAGGACTGCTTCTTGCAACTCTGACCGGACTTGAACTGAATCAAGTGCACAAGGAGCTGCGGCGGGTTGCTGTTGATGGTGGAAGGCTGCTGGTTCTTTCACAGAGACATCTACAAACAGAGCAAGACGCTTGGAAGCATCAATTGCTTTGTGCTAATGCACTTTCTGTAACATGACATTACAGTCACTGTGTCATGTGTGAGGACATTCTGGATCAAACTGATGAGGCCTGGCTCATGCAATGCACTTCGAACCAGTAGAGTCAATCAAAAGCAACCTTAGTCTCAGACATATTCTTGGCATCACGAGGGTTTGTTTGTTGAGGGCAAAAACAGCAAAGATAGATTCTTGACGTTTTCACTTTCCTCTTTTAATTGCATATCCTGACAAAGCAGCCAAACTGTGCACGTTCAAATCGGCTTCATCTGAGCTCCTCCCCATTGGAGGATGGTAGCGACCTGGGTCCGAGCTGGCTTTGCAAACGCGAGGCGAAGCGTTCCACAAAAGCTGCACACCTTTGTCGCTTGCAAACTCTTGCAAGGAAGTGTATGGGGCCCTTTTTGTGGAGAATGATCCCACGCGGCCACCCTTTCCTCAACCCGGCACCGACAACACCATCCCGTACTTCTTGCAGCTCGGCAAGGCAGTATTTCCATGATGCAGTCAGTTCCCTTTGTCACATGATTCTGAGGCAATTGTTCAGTGGAAAGCTGCAATTGAACAATCCAAGGTTGGTTTGCACGACAAATGAAGACACTGCCGAGCAGAGCATGACATGAGAAAAAGTCTGCAGGGATGGCGTACCCTTTCAAAGGGGAGTTTGGTTGCCGCCTTTAGCACATCCAAACACAAGCAAGTCGTGAAAGTGGACTGAGGCTGGAGCAGGAATTGGCTTGCTTTTCATACTACCAAGGCATGTGGGTTTTGCACGACATGTGAATGCTTCCATTGTTGGGATCTTGTGTCTGTACTCTGTGATCTACATTTCATGTTAAGTTGTCAAAAGCTGTTGGCGCGATTGGGTCAGGCTGTTGGCAGCTCTCAGCTCAGTCGGTTGATTTCTGAGTGACACTCAGATGCTTTGGGAAAGTGTTGAGACTTTGCTGAGACTTTGCTGGGTGCACCCCGTGCATCCCCTTTGGAGCCAAAGGCTCAGTGCCATAGATACAGGTTTGGTTGAGAAGCTCAACGTTCGCATCGCTGCATCTACTACGTAGCTACTTCAGATATCTACAGATGTATGATATTCATACAGGGTGAACAGTCTGAATCTGCTTTTCATGCCAGCTTGAAGCCCATCGTTTCAGGAAAGTCGCTGGAGACTTGGCCATCAATTTCGGAGCCACGTTATTCCTCGGTTTCCTCACATATCAGGCTGGGCGGTGACTTTCAAGTTTTCATCAATGTGGAAAGTTGAATTGATTGCATGACCCTGTTAGGAATGGAATAAGGACTCCGTCCGCCAGCAGGCCAAGGAGGACTGCCAACTGTGATTTTAAGTTCATTGTGTCGTAGAGTGAGCAAGATGAGAAGTTGCTCAAGCCATTCGAAGGAAGGGGCATTGATTGCTCGCCTTCCTGTCCGAGCAAGCTTTGAGGGCAAGGCCTTCCCTAGCTCTGCTTTGTGCACTTCCAGTACTAAGGTGATTACAACGTTGTGCACGGCTGGTTATCATCACACCGTTCATCATCAGGACGTTGATGTGAAGCTTAGTGATCTACGCAGCGGACGGCAGCTTCCTCCTTGGCGCCCTGCCTGGCCTCCCAGTTGTGCTTGACGCAGAAATAGAAAGATACATATGAGAAGATGCGCAGATGTCGAGATTTCAGTTGCCTGTCTTGCTGTTTCATGGGGACTCAGCTGAGGTCATTTGCTTGGGTGACCAAGGGTTTTGCCACAGCCTTATCTCTGATATTGCCACTTGTAGCTGGACGTGCTGGTAGGACTACCCTCTGGATCTGCCATTTACATAATTTCGTCAATGACCTTTGCAACCTCGCACTCTGTTTTTAAGGCCTCGACTGCATAAACACCTCCAAGAAGGTCGCGGAGGCCTTTTGCTGACCAGTCCAGCGTTTGACTTTTTGAACTGAGCGACCTAGGCTATGGTACGATGTGACTTCCTGCTGATCCCGGTATTGAACACGGCGGACGACAAGTTGAAAACTCATACTCTTTGGCAATTTGGGCTTGTTTCAACTAAACTTCCTCCTTTTGGACTTATGCTTTCTGCGTGATGTCAGAGATGGGATGATTGAAGCCAAGGTCTGTGCTTGCCGAAGCTGCCAGCGGCCTTAGCTTTGTCGCGCTCCCACAGGACGCCACCATCATTCGGGTGAGAGGAGAGATTAGGTTGGAGGCCATCGCCATTAGGTTGGAGGCCACCGCTATTAGGTTGGAGGCCACCGCTATTAGGTTGGAGGCCATAGCTAGTAGGTTGAAGACCAGATGGAGAGAAAGAGAGAAGCACCTGAAAGGTCACCCAGAGTCACCCAGGGTCACACTGCAAAGAGAGCGTGTAAAGCCGTAGCCGTGGCCGCACCCGGAATGGTTGGTTCAAAAAGAGCTTCGTGGCACCGGTCTTGTGAAGAGTTACAGATCAAAGACTTGCATGTTAGCAGCAAGGGTTGTCGCGGGGAATGACATTTCTGGCGAGGAAAGCGAAGACTGGGAGCTGCTGCAGGAGATTCAGCTTGCTCAGGCTGATGGTTTCCAGTTGGCTTAGGACAGCCAGCACCACAACTAGCTGTATTTTCGATATCAGAAGAACCATATTTAAAAAGGACCATGGTCTACCTGCGGGAACCTGTACGCTCGACTGAACGAGATCAGCTCATTAAAAACCCTCCTAGAGTTGCCTGAAGCGCTAGTTGGAAGTTGAACCAAAAGCTGTTGCGAATGATTTGCAGGTGCGAAGTCAAGGCCTTGATGAGGCGACCGGGAATTTCTTGTCCAATCCGACTGTGAGCATTCTGTTGGTCAGGCTACTGGTCAAGCTATAGTAGTCAAAAAGAACGGGCGAGCAGCGTTCTCAGTTTCTAAAGATGGCAACCATGATCTTCCATAGACCGAGACGGTTCCATCCGACACTTCAAAGTCAGGTTGGCACGAGGTTTCTCGGTGCGCGGACCTTGGAAGACGGACCTTCATCAGAGCCCTTCGGTGCTCTTCCGGTGCTCTTCGGTGCCGTTGCCTTTGAGGTCCCAGATTGGAATTCTCTGACCCAAGAGGCCTGCGCCGGCCTGGGGTTCTTGGGTCCGGGGGGGTGCACTTTTTGTATCTTTTAGTCGTTCTCTTGCTTACAGAGTGTGATCCAGACATGAGTACACATGGCACATGAAGACTGCTCAGGTCGATGCAAGAGTCAAAATTGGCCTCGACACAAGCAACATTTGAGCCTTTGCAGCTACTTATTCTGTTTCCTGGATTGGTGCTGACTTCCTTATGCATTTTCGGCTGACAACTATGTGCATCGATTTTCAACGCAAAGAGCGGTGGGCAACAGGTTCAGAGGCATTTGATAGATCATGATAGATCTTGTCAGAAGCTTCCCTGGTGCCTTTGGCCACGCTCCCTTTTTCGACAAATTGCATCAACTTAGCGGAGTGCCTACCTCTTTGCTTCGTCCAGTGTGTTGACGTGCAGAGAGCAAAGAAGGCGCATAGCAGCCTAGTTTTCAATTGTTTGCTGCATTCCATAAGTCAAAACAAGTCGTCAGTCCTTTTGAGAGAGCCTTTTGGTTCTGAGAGCACAGATTGTCACTGAGCGTGGGCCAACTTGCCAGCACTGCTTGTCTTTGATGACATTTGGCTCATTGGGATCCCTATGAAACAAACCAGACTGACTGCTGGCAGCACAGCACACATCTCAGTGGTGAATTTTTGTCACACTGGTGACGAAAAAAAATGCAGCCAAATGCTGAGGCCGTAAAGATGGCGACGGAGGCTAGCGATGCCACCATGGATGCTCCAGCAGAGGTGGGAGTTGGCAATATCTAGCCGTTTGCAAGCCACTGCGGCTTGACAGACTTTTGATTTTATTCGCCACTTGTGAAGCCAAGTGATCAGGAAGGTGCAGATGCAGCTCCGCAGGAAAGGGGGTAAAGTGCTTTGCTTCGTCACAACTTGGCCAGATCTGCCAAAGCTTGGGTTTGTCGAGACACTGCAGGATGCGCCTGCCGAAGAGGCAAGGTGCTTTCCAGTGAGGAGTGCGTGGCAGGGCTGCCAGATTGGTTGCCTTTAGCTCTTTCGGGTTGCTGCATCAGCCCACAGGAGCATCTTTGGGCCAAAGATTTGTGGTTAGACAAAGTATAGTCATAAAAGTCATAGCCATAGCCGTAACCAGAGTTTAAGGCGCAGGGTATGCCAAGCACTGGATTCTTGATGGAGCTCGAGATGCCAGGTGAAGGATGGCTCTGGCGATGTCCAGGAAGAAGAGGTGATGTCCACACTTTACACGTTGGACAAGTAACAGTTGCCAAGAAACTTTATTGTTGGACTAGAATTTCAGAGGTTTGTCCTTCAACAGTTTCAGTCGAGCGTGCTGAAGGGGAATTGTTGCCAGGACGGCCCCGGAGAAGATGCTCAGGAGAGTCTTTTCATCGGAGTTTCAGTGGTAAGTGGTAGAGGGAATGACATTTCATGACTCTGATTCATTCCAGGACGCTCAAGACGCTGACGAGCCCAAAGATGAGATGGAGGTCGAGGATGGCGGCAAAGATGATGGCGGCAAAGTAGCTGATGAAGAAGCCGGTGAAGGTGGTGAAGGCGAAAATGAAGGAGATGAGAAAGGAGAAGAAGAAGGCGTGGGAGGGGGGCAGTAGCCAAGACATGCTGAGGCCAAAGCAGCCAGTGTTTCTTTTCAACTTCAATTCAATTCATAGGTCATGATTTGTATGTTTGATGTTTGCCTCCATGATTGTCAATGTCAAGGTGGTGTGGAGAAGGTGGATAAACTGAGCATGTCTCTGGAAGACCTCATAGAGCCTGACACCTAATGTCATCCGCCACAAGCTCCTCTAGCTTGTAGTGGTGCTGTACAACAATTTTGATCTCCTTGAAACTGATCCGCTCAGTGCCGATCGAAGAGCTACCGGTCAACCTGTCTCGTTTTTGGATCCTTCCAGCCTTTTGGTTGATTTGTCCTGTAAGACATTCTGTGTCTTTATGGACTGGTGACACTGGACATGGAATCTCTTCTTAACGACATTTTGACGAATCACACGCTCTATATATCGGCCAGGAAAACGTTGGGGCCGGGCTGGAGGAAGCTCAGGAGGTGGTGGAGGTCCGGGTGCCTTTGTAAGCCACAACAGATTTATATACATTCAAAGTTGCAGTTGCAGGAAATTGGAAAGGCTATGACTATAGCTGGAAGGAGAATGGTGCTCCCTATTGTAGTTTCAATGCAGCTGGAATGCTGGTATCACTGCAAACCGTATCTGGAGACATTGCTCTAGCCGCAATCTATCGGTTTCGTTCAGCAGGATAAGGGTGACAAGGGAGACAAACCCGACTGGAGTCAAAAGCAGGACTGCCCATGATCAGTCTTTGAACCTGAAGCATTGCATACGACCCTTGAACATCAGATATATAATGATATATAAAATTTTCTTGCAGTTTGGCAGAGGACTGGAAAAAGAGCAGTGGTGGTGATGATTGGAAGCAGGAACTGCTGCTCCTCCGACTATCAACATCGCATCCTTTTGAGCACCTGTGGTCTTTACAGGATTGGAAGAAGAAGGATGATTGGAAGGACATGACTGCTGTGTAAGTGTGCACTAAGTATTCCTTATTCCTCGGGATTTTGCTTCTAAGTAGAGTGTTTTGATTCTATGCGAACGCACTTAAAACCCGGTTCCGCGTTTTTTTTTTTTCAATTTAGATTCTAAGTATCTGTCTGTCACTCCATATGTATATTTATATATATATACACATTATATATGACCAGTAACCATGAGCTCCGTGCACACCTCAAGCTCCGGTGCTCAAGGTAGTTCATGCTTTGTTGGGGTGCTGTGCTGGAGGGTGCCGCCTCACTTCTTTCTCTCTCTGGCAGCTTCTCTTGTCCCTTGCACTGCCATCCTTCCACGGTCCTTCCGTTCATCTCTGGCATTTGCATTGGATTTCTTTTTGGACTTTGCACTGGACTTTGGCTCTTTTGGGTCTTCGTGAGACCCTTCCTTGTGCCTCCGGCTGTTCCTGAACGAGGTCCGCCCCCTGAGCGACCTCCTGCTCCTCATCTTCAGCGCCTCCGCGCCTACTTGCATGAGTGACCAAGCAGCCTTGCATCGGGAACTACGAGCCCTGACAGCTGCAGTCCAAGAGCTTACCTTAGTGACAAGAGAGTTGGTGAGTGAGAGATCTTCGAGGGCGAGTACCAGTACTCCTTTGCTCCGTGGCACCTCGAGCCCTACATCATCAATTTTGATATATTTATTTTTATTCATTTATTCATCATCCAATGAATTTCCGTTCATCCGTGTTGGGTTACGGGCGACGACATAGGACTATCTATATCCTGGCTACCTCAAGGGCAGCGTGCCTCGATCGGATGAGGCCAATTCAAGTGGTGCTTGTGCACTTTGGTGACCGACAGTTCACCCATTCCTGGTGCACCTGCCGATTATTTGCTTCAGCCGGTGGCGATTGAGTTTGAGGAGGGGCCACCTGAGTATCCGGAATTTTGCATCGTTGCTGCTCAGAGGAGCCTCTCGTCTTCCAAGAGCTCTGCTGACACTCGTGCCCGTGAAGCATTCAAGGCGGGATTTTGGGCTCGCGCCTTCTGGACCTGCCACACTGAGGGAGAGAGCCTATACCGCCCAGGTGTGTCTTCATATACTCAGTGGGTGTTGAGGAAAGGCCCTGGCTTTGACTTCATCCGAGTGACGAGCCAGGCTGACTCCGACAGGCTGACCACCTCCTTTGCAGACATTGTATTCGTTGAGAAGTTGCCCACACTGACAGAGCTTCACATTTTCTGTGCTGGCGCTCGCATCTTGGTACCACCGCAATGGCGTTGGACCGGCAGTCAGTGATCTTTGCATCCCAGAATTTGGACCACTCCCTCTTAGTTCTTCATTTGACATCATATCTGACGGAGAGTGGTGAAGAAATTCAGTGCTATGCAGTACCCCTGGTTTCAAGGAGAAGGGGGATGATGTTAGCTATGCCCATGGGTGTCTGGAACCCGTTGCTTGTGGTCCCGGGCAGTCAGATATGAGGATGCTCTTGTTGGGCCTTCTCAGGTTTTTGAGGTTGAGATGATCATGGAAGACGACTCAACTGGGGTGCCATTCAATACAGGTTTCAAGAGTGACGTCCTGGTTGCAGACCTTTCCAATGATATTTTGCAGTATCTCAGGGAGTATGATCCTGTCACCGACTCCACCGAAGGAATCCATAGCTTCCATGAGGCGCACCCTTCGGCTATTCCGTCGGCTTCAGATTTGCTTCCACAGGTTTTGGCTTGGGCAGAGGCCGAAGCAGCCAACCAGAATCCATTTTTACAGTGCTCGAGAAGAGCCGGCTCCCAAGGCTGCAGGCCCCCCCAAAGAAAGCGCCCGCCAAGAGAGTGACGACGGCCACCTTAGCGGACCAGATCGCTTCCTTGTCAGCTCAGGTGGAGTTGATAGCAGCTCAACAAAGTCAGGCCCGAGGAGGAGCAGATACACCAACTGCCCCCAGAGGCCGTCCTACCTCTGCCATTCATGCAGGCGAGCAGGACACCCTGGCCCCTTCCGGACCCGTGCCCAAAATGCCGCCAGTATCCCAGGGACTCCAGAAGGCACTCCAGCTTCTGGGTCCACCTCCCAGGACCAGAACCTCCCCTCTCTGATTTCTGGACCAAGTCTCCAGCTATTAGACGAGCCCTTGGATCCCCTGAAAGCTCCGCCCGAGACTCCAGACCAGATTCTTTCTCAGCAGACCCTGGCCCTGAATGCCTTGGTATCGCACCTGATCCAAGGAGGAGATTCCGTCGGCCTGGACTATTATGGTGGAGGAACTGGCTCGAGTTCCACGAAAGGCACCATAAAGCGAGAAAAGCTCCAGCAAGATCTGGCAGCCAGGCAGTCGGTTTTCTTTCTGGCTCTTCAGCAACAGCCTTCATCCGTGATGCCTCGAACCGAGGAAGAGATTCAGAAGAAGTCTCCCTCCCTTCTGGCGTACTTGGAACGCTATGGGGGCTTCAAAAAGCAGAAAGAAGCTGGCTTGATGATGTGGGTGTTCGGGCATGCTCTGGACGCAGCGGCCTCGGGAGACTTCTATGCTACAAAGGAGTACCTTGTCCTTGGCATTATGGCCCTAGAGCAGAGTGCTTTCGATGCGGGCGATTGGGGGCTCGCCTACGTCATCTCTATGCTGGAAGATCCACCTTCGAACCTCTTCCAAGACAAGATGCAGTCTATGACAGCTGCGGGGAGGCCATTTTCTCCCCTGGTGCCGCCGCAGTTGGCCTCAATCAATCTGGCCTATCTGAAGGAGATCGATGTCCTACAGACCAGGCGGCAAGAGACAAGGTCCAAGAAGAGTGGTGGAAGTGGAGGGAAGACGGAGGAGGAGTCGCCCAGCCCACGCAGAAAACCAAAGTTTCTAAAGAAGCCCAAGGCGGGCGGGGAGCAGCGATGAGGGCAGAAGAAGCACCGCGAGATGAATTCAATTCCTTGCCTATGTGTGCAAGGAGAGCATGTGACCACCGGAGGGACCTAGAGAGAAAGCTTCCTGAGCCACATTAAAAGGGAAGTCATCTTTCCAGGCCTTCGGGCTCCTGCCCATCTCAAGGACGGGTTGAGCGGGTCGGAGCACAGATGTATCAGACAAGTCAGTTACCCTTTGTGGTGTTCCCGTTTGACTACACTGGTACTACGAACTCGTACAGCCTTTTCATTTTATTTGGCTTTTTCCATTCGCACGACTAGGGGTTCTACGCCAAGGACCTCGTCTACACCGGCTTTGTTCCCTGTCCCTCCACCTATGGACGGTTGTTTTGACAGGATGCCTGCAAAAGTTTCCAGTTCGAAGAGGAGATCTTTGATGTTGACAAGGGCAGTGCATATCATTTGTATGGCTTTCAATGTATGGCATGCAGGTGAGGCAGTCCCGAGTGAGGAGCTTTTGCGGAGGACCCCGAACTCTCTTCATCGTGCTCTTTACAAGAGAATCAGGGCCTTTATCAAGTCGGACGGCCTCGTTGCGACATTCGACTCGTTGCACGCTGGCCGAAGGAATCCAGAGCTCATTGCACGCCTTGGGGAGTTGACTGATATGCTCACAAAGTTGGGATGCTCAGCCTCGCCCTATTCCAAAGCTTTCTCCGGCTATGAAGTCACCAAGAACAACACCACGTTTCCAGAGTTGGAGCCATATCGTGATTTGGATCCTAGTCGCCTCGTCCTTGCAGGAAAAGGGCATTGGGATGTGACTGACTTCCTCAGCGACCAATTGGTCATGGCCTATCGGGAGCCAGAGTCGATCAAGGTTGACCGCACCCCCCTGCTGTCTGGGAGTACCCCAAGCTTCGTGATGATGCCGCAACTATTGTTCAGCTGGCTCATATCTGGGACCGTCAAGGTCTCCTACGGCTACATCGTGACAAGGTGTCTTCTCGTGGCCATTTTGAGCTGGTGAGGATTTTTAACTGCTACAAGTCAGCCGAGAGAGATCGTCAAATAGGAGACCGCAGAGGGCGAAATGCTGTGGAGTGTGTGCTTCATGGGCCGTCTTCCAATCTTCCTGCAGGTCAAGATCTATGTGACCTTTCCATTGACTTGGACAAACAAGTCCTGCACCTTTCGATCTCAGATCGTCGTGATTTCTACCATCAGCTTTGGGTCACTCGTGCCAGGGCTGTCACGAACACATTGGGACCTGGACTGCCTTCTGAATGTGTCAAGGAGACAGATGCCTACCGCCTTTTCATCATGAATGACGCCAAAAAGAGATATGTGAGAGAGAGGCATGGAGACCAGTTGGGGCCCCCCGAAAAGAGTGGCGTCGACACCTCTTTGCTTTGGGCCTGTTTCAACGGAGTCTTGCAAGGCGATCATGCTGGTGTTGAGATTGCAACAGATGCACACAGCCACCTCCTTCAGGAGTACAGCTTGCTTCAAGATGATGTCAGACTAGTTGCCAACAAGCCTAGTCGAGACCCAAATCTGGTCGAGGGCCTCGTTATTGATGATTTCTTTTGCGTCTCTTTGGATCCAAAGGGCACCAAGCCTGAGTCTTCTGGTTCCTATGCTTCCTATAGCAAGGCGCAACAGGCCTACAGTGACTATGACCTTTTGGGATCACCCGAGAAGGACCGGAAAGAGAAGGCAAAGCAATTGGGGCATATATCAACTGCAGCCCTGCGGCTGTCGTTCATGGACTTTGTACTGTTGGCGCCCCTCCTGCTAAGAGGCTTTCTCTCTCCACGGTGACGCTCCAGCTAGCTGCGCTGCCATATACCACGGTGTCATTGCATAGATGCATTGTTGGAGCTTGGGTCTCGATGCTACTTTACCGGAGGCCGATGATGGGCTTGCTCAACGAGGCCTTCGTTTTGACTGAGAAGTATGGCGACCTTTCTGAGGACGGCCTGATCCCTTTGCCGCGGACAGTTGCGGGCGAGCTAGTGTTGTGTGCCACCCTTGCACCCCTGATCCTGACAGACATTGCAGTTGAGGTTGATGATATGGTTTATGCAACAGATGCTTCAGAAAGCAGAGGGGCCATTTGCTCAGCCTTTTTGGGTAGAGACCTGACACAACTGCT